ATACCTAAATACTCATTGTCATATATCATACTTTATTGTATGTATATATATATATATACATATATATATATATATATATATATATATACACACACACACACACACGTGTAATTTTGTTGTATTTTAGCTAGATTTGTAACAAGTAAATCTGTCGTCAGGTGTGTTTTAAACACACATATGTATAGAGCAACCTTACGTTTTAGTTAGAACTGTGAAAATCAGACTAGTTTTAAACATACATAAAACAGCATTATATTTTAGCTAGGTTTGCAACAAGTAATCTGTAGTTATACGTATCTTCAATATATATATATATATATATATATATAACAACATTACATGTTTTATGGTACTATCGCACCGTTTACAATTGCCTTAGTGTAAATATTTGAAGATTTAGCTCTTATTAAAGCCTTTTTGAGAAATATTTAATGCTCTGAATATCTCAACATTAACAGCAATAGGAACGTATTTCAGTATATTTTTTCTTTATTACAAAAATCTTGTTTGAAATTCCATTGAACAAACTGACGCTCGTTTCGTTACTTAATGTGGTATTAAGAGTTTTATTATTATAAAATAACAACTAAGGACTAAATAACCTGTTAAGTGTTAGTTCCTGGAAGTTTATATGCATGTTTATGAGATATTGTTTAGATGAATAACTCTATTAATCTTAATTAACTAAAACTTCTGGAATTAGTTATGTTACTTTAAACTTATAGATGCTTCTAAAAACACTTATTTTTAGAATTGTGTTCTTCGTGTATTCTTTACATGATCAATAAACGTTTTATTTTTTCCTAACTACCAGTTTTTGTAGCTGTGATCAATAGTTCTTTCCTTTCTAGGATTGAAAATATGGTACCTAAACACGTAGGCTACTAATATTTTTCATTCACTCAAGAAACAAATATGGTGTAAACATTGCATTGATAGAATTTTTTTTTTATAAAATATTTATTTTGATATTTCCTCGTGCTTCTAGACTTTGTCAAAATTTCGTTCTGTGTCATCGTTTCGTAAAATAGCTTCTGATCCAGCCAACTTGACATTTAGTGAAAGCTTTGGTCGGTAGGAGTCTAGAACAAAGCGTAGCTCAAAAGTTCTGCCGGTAGGAGTCTGCAACGAGTTTAAGTTGGATGAAACTTTTCAACTTAACCTTGTTGTAAACTACTACCAACGAAGCTTTCAACTTAATCTTGTTGCACACTGCTACTGACGAAGCTTTTCAACTTAACCTTGTGAACTGCTGCCGACGAAGTTTTTGGGTAGTAGTTTACAACAAGGTTAAGTGAAAAATCTGAGTCGATAGTAGTTTACAACAAGGTTAAGTTTAAAAGCTTCGTCGGTAGTAGTTTACAACAAGGTTAAGTGAAAAATCTGAGTCGATAGTAGTTTACAACAAGGTTAAGTTTAAAAGCTTCGTCGGTAGTAGTTTACAACAAGGTTAAGTTGAAAAGCTTCATCGGTAGTAGTTTACAACAAGGTTAAGTTTAAAAGCTTCGTCGGTAGTAGTTTACAACAAGGTTAAGTTGAAAAG